GTTGCTCATTCTGGTTGTGCGGTTGGTTCGGTGTCTTTCGGTGCTGAAGGTTCAGTGGCTGTCAGTTTTGTCGCTCCCACTTTTGTCGCTCGTGGGGTTTCGGGCTTGTTAGCGGTTTTTCACTTGCGTTATTTCTCCAGATATCTTGTCCGAAAACCCACTCGCTCATTTTTCTCGGGCCATTTACCGTGCCTTGGCTGAAATTGACGTTCTAACAGTGCTAAACTCTTGTTTTTGGTTTTGTTGATTTTTTCTTTCCTTCCTCGCTCGATTAGCACTTTTTTTTTTGATAACTTTTGCATGCCTTTTTCACTAATTCCCACTGAGGGCGAATACAGGAGGAGTTTTGTCTCTGTGCGCACTCGCAAGGCTAGGGATGGTTTTGGGCCGTCATAGATTCAATCTACGATGAGAAAGTCGGCGGGGGAAAGGTGGTTTGGGAACGGAGAATCGGATTCCTGTCGGAGATCTGATCTCCGATTTTCCGACGTTCGATTGGAATTTCATCAAAGGATGATTAAAGTTTTTGTTTTTTTATTTTATCATTTTGGTTGAGGGTAGAGAAGCAAGACAAGGACATCGCCTTTACAGTATAGATTGACTGTAGTTCCAGATTATTCCAGGATCTTGCACTTCCATAAAACAGCCAAATTTTGTTTATCCCAAGCAGCTAGTTATTAACTGGAACTCGATAGGCTGTTTCGTTTGTATCATTTCGAACTGGGGCACTAGGTGTTCTTCATCCACTTAACATTCTTTCTATGGGTTTTAAGTTCAGTCCCCTTTGCGTCAGTGATTCTTATTTTGCCTAAAACTTCTCAGTTAGCATTTCTAATGTTTCAGATAGCAAAATGAGTGCTGCAGAAGCGCAGGCGTCTTTTTCGGTAATTTTTCCCGCACTACAAAATCATGGTTTTTTTGCTATGTACGTTAAATGTGTGTGTGTTATGTGTAAGCTGTTGAAACTGTGCAAGTGGTACGTTAAATCAAACATATCAAATTGCAAACTTATTTAATTTTTTAATTTTTGTATTTCTTGAATTTTGTATTTAATATGTTTAATTTATATA